AGCCCTGTGCCCATTGAACTGGGCAGAGCAGGACACAGACCTCACTGTGGGTCCTGAGTGATGAATGCACCCTCCACCCAGTGTTTGGTTACTGACAGGCTCAATAGGAGGGCTGAGGAGCCTAGAGTGGAGTCTGGGGATACTCAGGGAATTCTTATCTTTCCCCGGGCCCACGTCACACACCCAGGCTGGGAGGGAGGTCGACATGGGGTCCAGCTTGCTGTTGTTGTGTGCTGTCAAGTCAATTCTGATTCATAGCGTCCCCGTAGGACAGAGTAGAACTGCCCCTGAGGGTTTCCAAGGCTGTAATCTTTACCAGAGCAGATCGCCAGGTCTTTTCTCCCTTGAAGCAGCTGGTGGGTTCAAACCACTGACCTTTTGGTTAGCAGCCAAGTGCTTAACCATTGTACCACCAGGGCTCCTGGGATCGAGCTTAGAGGCTCCATTTTCAGTCACTTCTGGTTTTGGGACTACAGAAGAGTGGGAACCACAAAGCTTCAGCATACCAGAGCCAGAAGGGACTGTCAAGGCCATCAAGTCCAAGAAGTTCGTTTTAATAATGGGGAGCCTGGAGTCCAGAGAGGAGAGAGATCCATCCCGGGTTACACAGACAGTTGAAGGCAGAGTCCAGGCTCTTCGGACTTAGGATGTCTAACTCAGATGGGACTCCTCTCATCATATGGGGCAGCCCTGGAGTGTTCCAGGGGGAGGTTGTAGGTGATGCTGAGGCCAACAAGGAGGTCAGGCACACAGGGTAGGAAGTTATGACTAGGAACGGACTCCCAGGCCCAGCTCTGCCACTTACTACTTACGAGACAGTGGGTCATAACTTTGCTTTCTGCCACTAGACTGTAGCAACTATTTCTCCAGGTTATTGTTAGGCTAAAAAAAAAGAAATTTTATAATAATAATATCATTAGCATTTATGGGGGAGTCCCTGGATGGCACAAACAATTAAGTGCTCGATACTAGCCGAAAGAGTTGCGGTTTGAACCCACCCAGAGGCGCCTCAGAAGACAGGTGATTGCTTACAAATGGTCACAGCCTTGAAAACCCTATGGAGCAGTTCTACTATGCACACACGAATCAGAATCTAACAACAGCGTTTACTGGGCACCCGGTCAGGTTGTTTCATGCTTTATCTCATTTAATCCTCAAACAACACTATGAGCTGGGCCCTATTATTGCCCCTGTCCCCATTTTCTGGATTAGAAAACTGAGGCTTAGAAAAGTTCAAACTCACCTAAGATCATGGAGCTAGTGAGTAGCAGAACCAAGGCATGAACCGGTAAAGCCTGTGCTCCTACCATTGAGTCATCCCACCTCGTACACTAACTGCCAAGTCAGTGTTCTACACGGTGAACTTGCCAAAGAGATGGGGAAAGAACAGGGAGGTTCTGAGGATTCACACTAGATGGCCCCC